GAAAAGAAAAATATAGGTCCCGATAATAAAAATCGTAAATTTTGAAAAACCGAGGACTAAAACCAGAATTTTCAACAAACTATAAGGACTGAAGTTGTATTTTACTTCTAAATTTATTTATATGCTGCATTTTTTTAAATAAAATAAAATATAAAATATTATTCCAACTTCTTCACATTTGACTTCAAATTACAAGATAAAATAAGCATGGAAGACGTGAGGTTTTGACAAAAATGAATATTCGAATATTGTATGTTGGTTTATTACGAATAAATTATTAATTATATATAGAGTCCCTGTGGTTTATTATAAATTGTGATTTGAGTCCCTCTGAATTAAAATTTGTGGTTTTCATCTTTATAATTTGTAATTTATTGCTATTTTCGTCCCTAAACTAATTTTTGTCTTTTTAAGTACAAGGGATCAAATTAGTAAAGAATTGTAAACCACAAGGACTGAAACAATAATAAATTATATTTCATAAGAACGAAAATAACGATGATTTACAAACTATAGGAACGAAAAATGTAATATACAAACCACAAGGACGTAATTGAAACTTTTAACAAACCACAGGGATGGAAAACAAAATTACTCATATATATATATATATATATATAAATAAAATTTTAATAATTAGAGAACTCCAAAATTTGTGAGATCCGTGAGAAATTCAATTTTAAAATTTCGTTTTTGTAATTTTTTTCTCCATTAAAGTATAATATTTAATGTATTGATGATTTGTTTCACAATACACTTGTTTCAATATTATTCGGTTTACAATGTGAAACTTTTTTACATGTATCTTTTTGTTTCATAAACATGCCAAAAATGTTTACATTGTGAATCGAGTACAAGTAAGACAGATAGATTGTGAAACAAATATATATTAATCATTATATTAAATTCGAATCATAGATGAAAAATAATCAGATAAAATAGCAAATGATGCACTGTTCTCAAGATCTCATGATTTGAAGAGTTCTCAAAAGAAGTCCCCATATATATATATATATATATATATAGAGAGAGAGAGAGAGAGAGAGAGAGAGATGGAGGTTCAAACGAGAACTCCATTTTACGAAAACGTGAAAACACCCTTACCACATGTGATAATACGCGTGAGGGGACCTGGTGGTATGCGGAAGACATGTTCTACGACTTAGGTCGCGCCAAAGGTTGTCTGCGTCTATGATTTAACATAACATGTGATGGTCTTGATGGATTATAATATTATATCAACAACACCCTTATCACATGTGATAATACATGTGAGGGGACTTAGTGATGTAAGGGCGTCTGGCCGATACAAAGACTGTCTTTGTACCGGTCTGAGTTCGATTGCATCTGTTTTAGTATGCCAGATATACATGAAAAATTAAGCGAAAACGACTTTGTTTCAACATAAATGAATGGTCAAGAAATTGAGCATATTTTTAAAGCACCAGAACACCATATTTATGACAAATGTGAATATTAATACTCATTTATATTGTGTTTATATGTGATTTTGCTATATAAAGTTGTAATAATCATTTTTAAAATTACAAGAGAGGTGTCTGATTGGTTTAAGCTTAGACTCTAAAAATCAAAAGTACATGTAGGTCCCAGATTCAAATCCAAGGAGAAATAAAAATTCTCTTGTGGTCATGGAGGTTCAAATGGGGTGACTCAAGATAACCCGCAAAGCAGGTGTCATCTTGGGATTAGTCGGCTCGCATAGCGGGTTGGATATCCAGGTTAATAAAATAGTATAAGTTTAACTTTTGTGTTACATAAACATTGTTAAAATTGTTATATGTTCATTTTGAAAACTAAATATATTGAATAATTATTATAAAATAATAATTATTTTAGAGAATGAGACAGAGAAGCTCTTGGAGATGCTCAAAGCTAGCTTATTTTTGCCAAACAATGCCTATAAGTACATAAATGAATATTATATATATATATATATATATATACACACACATATAAGAATAATAATATAAGGGGTTTTGTGGCAGTTGTTGAATGGTTTGGTGCAGAGTGATTAAGTGATCAGAATGATTAAGATGCTCTAATGATATGATAAAAAATAAAATATAACTGTTTGGTAATTATTTACAATGAGATTAGGGCACTGAATGATCAAGGAACACCCAAGATACAAAATCATTCAAAGGTTTATAAAACCATTAAGAGGCGGATTTTTTTTTGTCAAACAAGATTTACCTCTTAACGATTCAAAAGATGTCTCTTAATAAAACTATTAAGAGGTAAACAAACAACCCATAATATATAATACATCAAGTAATGGAGATATATTGTTAAAATAGTAACCATAGTTATGATTATTAAATATATTATATCATATCATATTAATTGTAATTAATAGAGTGAATTATGGATCTAGTCCTTATCTTGTGATGTTTCATTTTAGTCTCTTTGTTTATTTTTTTTCCTATAAAAAGTAAAAACAATATTTTCATGTATATATATATATATATATATATATATATATATATGTAAGGATATTGAAATAAATATAACAAGATATTATTTTATAATTTGATTTGCTTGCATTAAAAAATTAATTATATTTAATACTATTTAATTTTATTATTTTAGTCTTTCTATCTATTTGGGTATGAAAACTTGGTTGAAATTTATGTAAGGATCTGTTAAATTTGAATTTACGAAGATGATAATCCTTTGATTAAATTCCAAATAGCAGATTTTGAGATTTTGGATGCAGAACAATATAAAAACTGAAAACCCCGATTTTAGGATGATGATGATGTTGGAGTTCATTTGCTGATGGTTTCAACGGTTTTGATGTTAAAATATCGATAACGAGCTTGTTTATTGCAATGGTGGAAAAAGAACAATAAAATTAAATCATCTGTAATATATATATTTTTAAATTTAAACAAATCAAAACATACACCCGTATCTTATTTTATTCTCTATAGATAAAATAAGATATGGTTTTATGATTTGATTTTTTAAAAATTAAAATATTAATTATTATAAAAATATAAAACCATATATTTTTCCATCATTACAATAAAACAATAAATATAAATCATATTTAATATAATTAATTTTTAATTTAAACAATATATATTTATATTTGTATGTTATAATATAATTTTAACTTTTTTATAAAAAAAATAAATAAAAAAGACTAAAATGACCGCTGATTTAATTGAATTAACAAATTTAATTTAACATCGTTAGTTAGAGGGATCATGACCAAGACAAATTGAATATTACAAGCAACGGAGTAAATAAGCCGAGTCGAGTTGAGTAGTAGGTTATTCGAGGTGGAATCGGAAATAAAAAAACACCAGGCTCGAGCTCGATTCGAACTCGAATATCTTTTTCAATTTAAGGCTCGTGCTCGAATATTTTTTGAATTATCGAGCTCGAACTCGATGCTCGTTTATGGGCTCGGACTCAAGTTCGTTTAACTCGTTTGTGAGCTCGAATGACTTGACTCAACTCGACTAGAAAAGTTTAATCGAGTTCTCGAATGAGCCGGGTCGAACATCAGTGTTATGAAGTTCAGTTCGTTAAGTTAAACGAGTTCTATTTTATGTTCAAGATCGACTCGAGCTCGAGTAGCTCGTTAAAAGCTCGACTCGTTTACACCCTTAACCACAAGGACCAAATCCATAATAAACACCATAAAAACCTCAGTTAAAAAATGTCAAAACAAAAGAACCAAATATGTAATTCACTCTAATTAATATTACATTATATTGTCAATTTTAAAGATTGTTTAGCATGTTTTTTGGAGTGTGTTAGATAGCAAACACCCTCATGGCCTAATTCACATGTGAATAAACGTAAAATCCTGGAATTCAAACTAATTGGAGTCCCTCATGGCCTAATTAACATGTGAATAAGCGTAAAATCCTGGAATTCAAATTAAGTTATTTGTTTACTTTTTAATAGTTTTATTAAAAGACAATTTCTGAATTGTTAAGAGATGAATCTTGTTTGGCAAAAAAAAAAAAGTTTGTCTCTTAATGATTCTAAAACTCTCTGAATGATTTTGTATCATAGATCTCCCTTAATCATTAAGAGCCATAATTTCATTGTATACAATTACCAAATAATTATATTTCATTTTGCACTATACCAGGAGAGCCTCTTAATCATTCTGCACCAAACCATTCAGCAATTGCCAAACAACCTTTAAATAGTATTTATTTATTCATTAATGCATCACCAAATATAAAGGTTTAAATTCAAAAAAAAAATCATAAACTTTTAAGGAAAATTAATCAAAATACCTAATTTCCATAAATAAACTCATTTTTTAGTCACTTACTCACTTTTTTAATTGAATTACCATTTTAACCAGAGTTTATTCAAATGTCCTAAGCATTTTCATAAAACCCAAATTTTAAATTAAACGAAAAAAGAAAATAAAATTACACGTAAATTTGCATAAAAATCAAAATTACGTAATTTTTTTTTTTACTTTAATCTAAAAATAGGTTTATACGTAACGTAAACTTTAACCAAAATGAAATATTCGTTTTAAAAATGGCTAAAAAATGAATTTGACTGCGAATATCAGTTAGAGATTGTTTGGCAGTTGCTGAATGGTTTGGTGTAGAATAATTAAGAGACTTTCATAATATAGTGCAAAATGAAATATAATTATTTAGTAATTGTTTACAATGAAAACAGTGCGCTTAATGGTTAAGGGAGACTTAAAATACAAAATCATTCAAAGAGTTTTAAAACCATTAAAAGAAAGACTTTTTATTTACCAAACAAGATTCACCTCTTAATTATTCAGATCTTATCTCTTAATGAAGCTATTAAAAAGTAAACAATAAAACAAACAACCCCTTATTTTGGTCAATTTCTTAATTTATAATTTCCAATGGGGTTTTTTTGGTGGAGTAAAAGATGGATTTATATCATTGGCCATTGTTGTATATAATACAAGAATCGACGTGAACAACCACCCATTGACACATCAACTCTCTAACTGTGTGTAAGTGTGTGAGAGAGAAACATGGGAAAACAGAGCTTAGAAACTCCATTTTTGAACCCTGCAGAAGATACCAAAACCAGAAGCAAATGGAGACCAACAATTTGGTTCTTCATTTCACTCATATCCATAACTTGTAAGTGTTTTCCTTTTTCCGATTTAGATCGATTTTTTTACGATACGGGTTTTGTTCAGAAAGTCGAATTCCGAGATGGGTTGGTCTTAATTGATTAAGTTCAATTTTAAGAAAATACGATATGGGTTTTGTTCATAAAGTCAAATTTTGAGATGGGTTGATCTTAGTTGATTAAGTTCAATTTAAGAAAATACGATATGGGTTTTGTTCAGAAAGTCAAGTTTTGAGATGGGTCGATCTTAATTGGTTAAGCTCAATTTAAGAAATTCGACCATGATCAATTGATCGATCTTGATGGTATTGAGTATGGAATCGAGCAAGAATTTAGAGAAAACGAGTTTGTTTGGGTGAAAAAAGTCGTAGTATTGTTTGGAATATTCTTTGATAATAACGTTTATGATGGAGTGAATAAGATCGAAAAATGATTCTAACAGTAAAAACGTAATTATTTTGGGATGCAAAAATGACTGCTTGTTCAGTGGATTTTATGTTTCCGATAATTTAAGAGATTTATTCTTTTTAATAAATTTTATTTTTTCAAATTGAACGGATGTACGAATTGGTTGATAAGAATAAAGTTTCTGAGACTAGTTGAATAGTACAACCACCTGTAAGTCGATGATTTGGTTTGACAGTTGCTGAACGGTTTGATGCATGATGATTAAGTGGTCGGAATGATTAAGAGACTCTCATGATATAGTGAAAAATGAAATATGGCTGTTTAATAAGGGGTTGTTTGTTTATCTCGTAATAGTTCCATTAAAAAACAGTATTCGAATCGTTAAGAGGTGAATCTTGTTTGACAATTTTTTTTTGTTTCTTAATGATTCTAAAATGCTCTGAGTGATTTTGTATCTGGGTCTCTCTTAACCATTAAGCGTCCTGATTTCATCTTAAACAATTACGAAACAATTATATTTCATTTTGCACTCTATCATGAGAGTCTCTTAATCATTCTGACCACTTAATTATTCTGCACCAAACCATTCAACAACTGTCAAACAACCCCTAATTGTTTAGAAACATTAGGAGGAGACTTTTTTTAATCAAACATGATTCATCTTGTTGTCTCAATAAAACTATTAAGAAGTAAACAAACAACCCCTAAATTGATTTTTTACATAACTTACCTTCACTCCCCCAGTAGAATTTTCCACGAGACCCAGTCTACAAAATTCCTGAATCCGTCGCTGTCTACAACTAAAGTTGTTAATTATTTTTTTCAGTTCTATGTTATACGGTAGGAGGCAAATTAAGTCCATTGAGTTTAAATGGTTGGAAGGAGGAGACACAATCCGATGGTATCGTTGAGTCGTTGGAAGCGGTGGTTGCCGCAGACGATGCTCGTTGTTCGGAGATTGGTGCATCGGTTCTTAAAGATGGCGGTCATGCGGTGGATGCTGCCGTGGCGGTGGCTTTATGCGGCGGGGTTGTCAATCCGATGGCTAGCGGTATTGGAGGAGGGGGGTTTATGGTCGTCCGATCGGCAGATACATCACAAACTCAAGCATTCGATTTCAGGGAAACGGCTCCTGCAGCTGCTTCACAGGTTATTTTCGACTTTTACTTATTTAATAATAAAAAATTATTTTTTATTAAAGTCAATGAAAAATAGTTATATAATATAATTAATTTGGTTGTAATGTCTTGCACGTTATTTAAAATTTAATTGTTTTAATTTGAAAGAAATTATAAAATACAATTTGGATTTATCAAATAATTCAACACTAATGTTTGTTATATCTCAAATAGCAACTATAAACTTTCTGTAGTTTCAAAGTGTGTTTTATACAATGGTATTGTTGTTTTTGGCCTCTTAGAAGATTAGTGATTCAATCTTCACCATAGATAAGGAGGGTGTGTAAGTTTATTTGTTGTTTTTACTATATTGGTAGATTTAAGGAAGATTCCATTAAGATTTTCTTTTTCTTTTAAGGAATCTCCTTTTTTGTTATATATATATATATACATATATATATATAGAGAGAGAGAGAGAGAGGTGAGTTATTATACAAACCTTTATATTTGTACAACCAATACAACTCAATTTCAACCATTCATTTAATTTGATGAATATGTAATTTGATAGAAGTTTTGATTGTTTTCTAATATAAAATATTGATCATAATTAATGAACCTTATTCATCTTCCATAAATATTTAAATCATAATAAATGAGCTCTCATCATTTCCATAAATATTTCAATTTGTTAGGTTGCATTGGTTGTACAAATACGATGAGTTGCGTTTGAAACAAACTCTCTCCCTCTCTCTCTCTCTCTCTCTCTCTCTCTATATATATATATATTTATATAAATGAGTTATTATACAACTCTTTACATTTGTACAACCAATACAACCAATCTCAACCGTCCATTTAATTTGATGAATATGTAATTTCATAAAAGTTTTGATTGTTTCTTAATATAAAGTATTGATCATAATTAATGGACCTTATTTATTTTTCAAAAGTATTTAATTTATAATAAATGAATTATCATCATTTCCATAAATATTTCAATTTATTGGGTTGTATTGGCTGTACAAATATGATGAGTTGCATTTGAAACAAACTATATATATATATATATATATAAATTCCATTAAGATTTTCTTTTTCATTTAAGGAATCTCCTTTTTTGTTATATATATATATATATATATATATATATATGAGAGAGAGAGAGAGAGGGGGGAGTTTTCTTAATAATACAAAATTAATTAGGAATTCGGAAACTATCTACAGCACAAACATATTTATGATAAATATGAAAGTGTTATTTATCATGAATCACACATTGATAATGAATAACATATCCATATTTTTGAGGAAGATGTCACGTGTCGTGTTATGAACAATTTCACTGTTAAAAATAAATTTAAGAACCAATTTAATCCACACCGTTTATTTATACGTACAGTTGATATTGATTTGTGGAATCTATAATAATTACTCTTTTTTGAATCTATGAACCAAATACTTTTGGATGGTTTGTAGTTGAGATATCATTTTCATTAAAAAGTAATAATAAATAAATTGATAAAATAGGGTGCATGATGTTTAGAAAATAAAATATTATTTTAACGATTGATTTCACCTACTAACCATTTTTTTATAAGGTTTATTAAAATAGTTTGAGGTCCCTAATTTTAATTTTTTTTTGCATGCCGGTTGAAAGGTTAATTTTTTTTGCAGACGCGGATGAGATTTTTTTTTTGCAGATTTGGATGAAAAATGTTATTTTTTTTGCAGATATAAGTAGAAAGTGTAATTTTTTTGTTTTGTAGCTGGAATTCCAATTGCAGACGTGGGTTTCATATATATATATATATATATATATATATATATGTTAATTTTGGTAAACTTGAAGAGAAAATGACTAGTAAGTAAAAAAACAACTCTGAAAAATGATTATTTAAATAATTTTCCGTTACAATTTTTAATTTCATAAGAAACTTTATTTTGATTAAAATATAAATATATCATAAAACTCACGTTTATTTAAGAACATCTATCCTCCCTTTTTCTTTTTCTTGTTCTTAAAAAAGAGTACGTTTTTCGTTCTTACCATTTGTTGAAAAGTGCTATACAACGTTTTCGAAATTAAGGTCTTTGTGTCTGTAATTTACTATTAGTTGTTCTTAAGGGCGGACTTATTATGCTCTGAGTGGTTTTGATACGCCTGCTCAACCAAAAAACCAAAAACAGTCCTTCCCCCCCCCCCGGGAAAATATCCCTTGAAATTAACCAAAATAATTAAAAGTCTCTCAAAATCAATTAAAACACTGAAAAATCCTTTGACATAGTAGAATTCAGCTAAAACACGATGGATGACTTTTACGGGCTTTTGACTCACCTTAAAGGTGTACCCACTAGGCAAAAATACAAGGCCAGCTAATAACTTTTTCGTCATTATGTGTGTATAATTCATTGTTTGTTTTCGTTCTTATAGTCTATAATTCATTGTTATTTCCGTTTCTTATCGTACTTAATTTCAATAAATTGATTTAAGGACAAAAATAATAATGATTTACAAACAATAAAAATGGAAACCGTAATATTAATAATAAAAAAGTAGAAATTGTAATTTTAAACAAACTACAGGGACTAAAATCGTAGTTTACCAAACAAATTTATTCCCTTTTCCTAAAATATGATGTTCGAAAAGCACAAATAACAATGAAAATAAAAATTATTTCATTTTTCATATTTTATATTTATTTTTACAGATAATTCATAGTTAATAATGTAGGAATTAATGCGCTGTATGTTTACCTCTTAATAGTTTTATTAAGATGCAACATATGAATCATTAAGAGGTGAAAAAAAATTATCTCTCTCAATGATTTTTAAAATCTTTTGAATGATTTTATATTCTGGACCCCCCTTAACCATTTAGCATCATAATTTAATTGTAAAAAATTATATTTCATTTTGCGCTATATTATGATAGCATCTTAATCATTCTGCACCAACTTTAATCACTTATCAAGTTATATTGTAATTATTGATTGTATAGAAAAATATTATATCAGAACAATCTTGATATATTTTGTTATTATACAGAACATGTATCAGAACAATCTTGATGAGAAATATAACGGGGCGCTAGCGATGGGTGTCCCTGGCGAGATCGCTGGACTTTATGAAGCTTGGTTGAAATACGGTCGACGACCATGGAAAGAGTTGTTCCAGCCCGCTATTCGTCTTGTCAAAGACGGGTTTTTAGTCGCTCCTTATCTCGCCAATTCACTCTCAGGCAATGCTGACACAATCATGAAAGACCCAGGCTTACGACATGTGTACGCTCCAAATGGGAAAGTTTTACAAGCAGGCGAAACGTGTTACAACCATCAGCTTGGTTTGAGCTTGGAAGCCATAGCAGAAGGAGGTCCCGAGGCTCTTTATAATGGTGCGATAGGGGAGAAGCTTATTAGCGATGTCCAATCTGGTGGCGGTATCTTAACGATGGATGATATGAGGAACTACAAAGTGAAAGTTACAGATGCGGTTGAAGTGAACACGATGGGGTTCACCATTCTCGGGATGCCACCCCCGTCAAGCGGTACACTCGGGCTAGCTATGGTACGTTTTTTAACTTATTGAACGTAAAGACAACTAAAATTTGTTGTCCCTTGGATGCGACATTAGATTAAGACATGATAGGACTGAGTGAGACAAAAATGTAGTTTTTTTCCACACCAAAATAAGTGGAACAAAAATCAGGAAAATGAGACAAGATTGGTAAATTACTAAATTATCCACATCAAATTAAAACCCTAAAACCTTGCACAGTTCTAATTCTTTCTCCGACTGCCTCACTCTTACTTGTCCAGTCTTGACATGTAGTATTATGACACTATTTCTAATAACGCAGGTATTAAATATCTTGAATGGCTACGAGGACACAAATGGTGCGAAGGGAGCGTTGGGTTTACACCGATTCATAGAAGCCTTGAAACATATGTTTTCTTATCGGATAAACTTGGGTGACCCGGATTTTGTCGATATAAGTAAGACTACATCCGATATGCTCTCTCCTTCGTTTGCAGACAAAATCCGAAAACGGATTTTCGATAACACCACTTTCCCTTCAGAATATTACTTACCCAGGTAAATTCATCAGTTTTTAAAGCATCTTTGACAATCATAAGATTAACTGATTTTTTCAGCTTATTGAAAAAACCATTTATGTCCTGTTAGCCATAACAATTAAATAGTCAACATTTTGTATTCTTTGTATTAAATTTTTAAAAAGCTACTTCCAATAATGTCCTTTATATTTTAACTTACATTGTCATCTAGTTTATCAGTTATTTTTTATATATTATAAAAATGACTAGTTTATCAGTTAGTTTATCTAGTTTATCAGTTAGTTTATCAACTACTGACTAGCGTTTCAGTTAGTTTGTCAAACGTTAACTTTAGTTTATTTGACCTAAAATATCTGACTAGGTATTGGATGGTGTTTTAACTAGGTGGAGTCAGATTCAAGATCATGGTACAAGTCATTTTTGCATAGTAGATGCAGATAGAAATGCTCTATCCATGACAACGACCGTTAACTACCCGTTTGGTGGCGGTGTTCTATCTCAGGCGACCGGAATTCTGCTAAACAACGAGATGGCAGACTTTTCGGTACCCACAGAAGTATCCCCCGACAGTCTTCCTCCTTCCCCTACAAATTTTATCAGACCAAACAAGAGACCGTTATCCTCGATGACTCCAATCATCATTGTAAAGGTAGAAACCAAGAGACCCCTCCTAAAAAACAACAATCTAAGAACATCTATAACTGAATTTTTTACATAGCTTTTTGACGACCTAAACTTATGGAAACAACCCATAAAAAAAAACCCTATTTTTTTATTAACCTGGATATCCAACCCGCTATACGAGCCAACTAATCCCAGAACGACCACCTGCTTTGCAGATAGCCTAGAGTCACTGCTTTGAACCTCCGTGGCCACAAGGGGATTTTTATTCCTCCTTGGATTTGAACTGGGACCTCATGTTATTTTTTACTTTTGGAGCCAAGCTTAAACCAATCAGATATCAGCACTTGTGGTTGCCTATTTTTGTGTGTGTGAAAGCACCCAGAAAAATGTTTTTTTTATTTGTGGGTCAACATTTTTGGATAAATATTCAACGAAATGCTCTAAATTTGACTTTAGGAGTCAAAAAGCAACTTTCCAATTTCAAATTTGCTAAAAAAAACTTTTTTAAGGATTAAGTTTCGTTTATCCAAATGTTTACGGAGCAAATGTTTAGTGGTAAAAATCCACACTCTTGTTTATCTTATAGGGTAAGAGTTGTCACTCTCACTTATCAGTAAGACTCACAGTCCTAGACATTGCACTTACCAGGTGATATTCTTGGTATTTATCATGTTCATCTAGTAAGATAGATGACATGATAAACACTTAGCAAGTAATCGTTTGGTAAAAAACTCCTAGAATTAAAAAAAATTTAGATGTTAACAAAAAAAATTAAAACAAATTTATTAAAGACCGGGATTAATTACTAAAATAACCATCTTGATTGCAGTCCTATCACAAAATGAAAGTTTTTTCTTTTCTAAACCTGTACAAAATAACCACAAAATGATAGTTTTTTGTTTTCTAAATCTGTACTTTTTCTTATTTTAGAGAATCTGTTGAAGATGCTTAAAATTATTATACTGTCCTTAGAAAGTCTAACGTTCGACGGTCAAAAACTTGTTTGATAGGATGATCAATTGGCGGGGGTTCTTGGAGGGAGTGGCGGGTTGTACATAATTCCAGCCGTTATACAAGTCTTCCTTAACCATTTCGTCCTCGGAATGGAGCCTTTAGATGCTATTCAGTCTCCAAGAGTCTATCACAAGGTGATGTATTTTCTATTCGACACATAAATCCCACTTGAATGTGATTAAACAGTTGGTCAAAACGTCTGTTTTGACCAACCATTGACTCACATTTGGTGTTTCTTTATTGGAAACATTTTCTAGCATTACATATCAGAAGGTGGGGTCTAGGATGTGATGTACATGGACTTGTCCTCTACCTTCAATAGTAGAGCAGTTGTTTCTACACCACCAATTGACACCCTTTTGGGTCTTTTCTCTTTGAAGCATTTGCTCAAGAAACCAAATCAAACTAACCCAATATTATCCTACCAAAAGATGGGGTCTGGGGTTGAGATGTACACAGACTTGTCTTCTACCTTAAAGAGCAGAGCAACGTTTATATAGCACCCATTGACACACATTTGGGTCTTTTTTCTTGGAAACATTTTTTTTGAAACCAAACCAAACGAGCCCAATACATCACACTAGAAGATGGGATTTAGGATGAGATGTACGTAGACCTGTCCATTGACACACGTTTGGGTCTTTTTCTTGGAAACATTCTCTTGAAATCAAACCAAATGAGCTCAGTACATCCTACTAGCAAGTGAGGTATGTGGTGGAATGTACATAGATATGTCATCTACCTCAAAGAGCAAAGCGACTGTACCTCTACCTCAAAGAGCAAAGCGACTGTATCTACATCACCCGTTGATGCTTTCTGGGTCTTTTTCCTTTGAAGCATTTTCTCATGAAACCAAACTAAACGAGCCTAATATATCCTACCTGAAGGTGAGGTCCAGGAGTGGGATGACTCAAACTTGTCCCTTTTGAGAGTGGTTGTTTCTCAGAAGACCCCATCATGTGAGAAGTGTGTGCTAGAAAAAGAAACCCCGTTTTCTTATGATGATGTGAATATTAATCCAAGTCCTTTCGCGTTAATGCAGTTGATGCCGAATGTTGTATACTACGAAAACTGGACAATGATCGATGGCGATCATATCGAGCTTTCGAACTACCGGAAGAAATTTTTGAAAGAAAGGGGTCATCAATTGGAGTCAAAAGCAGGGGGAGGAGTCAGTCAGCTTATCATTCAAACACTTAATAAACCAATCGAAAACAGAAAAATGTCTTACAATCATAAACAAGTTTTGAAAGGGATGCTTACAGCTGTAAGTGATCCAAGGAAAGACGGCAAGCCTGCTGCTTGCTGATGATTGTTGATTTGTCTTCTGACTGATTTCGAGGCATTCTTGTTATGTTAGGTAGAAATAAACATTCTTAAATTTGTCAGAAGGTCATGCATGTAAAAAAAATATCTGCCAAAAGGCTATTCTCTTAAAATATCTGATATAATGGAAAAGAATTGTCTTATTCTATATATTTTCCCCAGTTCCGCTGTTACTGCAGACTTTATGCAATCAATTGGATTTATATAGATATCCCTTCAACACAACATAGATGACTTTTTATTTATCAGATCTAGGGACTTGTCATTCTGGGGCAATCTGCACTTATCTAGACTCAAGGCTCCTCACATGTCTAGCCCCCTTTCGACACTCTGGATGATCTGTACCCGTCTAGCCTCCATTGAAGGGGGCGTGTAGAGTTCCACATCGGCTGATTTGGACATTTCTCCTTGTACATGCTGGGACCTCCCTTCTCTCCTCAAGGGCTCTTTTGAAGAATAATCTAATTGGGTTACACATATCTCAAATGGTATCAGAGGTGAACTCTACCACTTAAGGACTCAACGTTGTGGGGCAATTTTTACTCGTTTATCCCCCTCTCGACACTCTTGACAATACGTACCCATCTAGCCTCTATTGGAGGGGGTGTGTTAGAGTCTCACATCGTCTAAACTTTGACCATTTCTCCTCAATATATGTTGGAATCTCCCAACTCTCCTACATGATGTTTTGGAGAGTAATCTAATGGGATTACACATATTCTCACACTTTAAGTCTCCATTAAATAACTTAGATTGCCGGTATTACTCGGTTCAGTATTATGAGACATCCATAAATTCCTCTAAAACAATCATAAAACTAAATTCCCCAACATTCCGTTGCTTGTTACATTCGATCAATTAAACTCATGTCTCCTATAACATTATCCTTGCCATAAAAAGACAAAGGATTGGTTAAAATCATCATAAACATGGTAAAAGTTCAAGAATAAAAATAGGAAAAAAGAGCCAGAGAGCTATATACACGCCTCAATTAGAGTTTAATGGGACTCACAGCTTATTCGGTTAACTATACACGATTGTTTGGTAGTGGCTTAATAATATATAAAGTGGCTTATTCAGTAAGCTTCTAGGGGGACGCTTTATGCAAAAAACCATGTTTTTTCCGAACTGCACTTCGCGACTAAAAAACATGCTCATTCCATTTATGAAAAACCATCCCAAACAAAACATTCCCAACCTATACAGACAGATTAATCCACACAGAAAGCTTTATCAATAGTAGACTTAATGGAAAACCAACCAAACATCCCCTTACTATCGTTTAAACAGAACCTTACAAGAATTCATTGCCTCTTTAACCGAACTTCAAATGCTCAACATAACCGAATCTCAATTTCATCAGGCATAGTAGAACGGAAAGATCTTTGCAGGGTTCGCTAGAAAACAGAACGAAAATACCTGTTAAGATGCTTTGTTCATAAGTTGTATTGGTGCTAGAATATAGCCTTGCTTGTTTCAACAATATAGCCATTCATGACCATTTCCTCGAGCATGAAGTGAGCTTTCTCCAGGCGGAATATAATGTCCAATTCGCACTACAAAACCAAAAAAATACGTACGGAATAAGAAAACCCAAAAATACCGAAGGGTCATTGACTCATTGGCCAAGTGGTACCCAGGTTATTACCAAAAGTGAGGAGTGTGCGTTAATTATGATATGCTTAAAAAGATGTGCCGATGCTGGAGACTTACCACATTGCCAAAATGACAGTCCATAGTTTCAACTAAAAGATGTATGAATTCCAGCACTGCAAGCTCGTTTTTCCAAAAAAACAAGAAACACTCGTCAATACGAAGAGAAACTGAAGATGATTGCATGTAAAAAATAGGTTGCAAGTTCGAATCTCTTTGGCTCCTTTTTAATATTTGGTAACAACTACAGAAAAGAAGGAAACCCACTTGTATGTCATTTTCAATTAAATTGTACTTTCTATAATTAAATTTTCTTTTATTTTATAATACGTTAATCAAATTGTACCCCCGATTGGAAATTTTTCTAAGTCCGCTTCAAGTAATATGCATTCCTTGATCAAGATAATGGGAAGTGCGAAGCAATTCATGGTATGTTAACACTAATACAGAACAGGATTACAGGACAATCTTGATCAAAGAACTTGGTTCATTTCATGGAAATTTTAATCAAAGTATCGGCATAAAATGGAAGAGATGGCATAATAACTTACTTCCTCATTGTGAACTCCAAATAAAAAAACAATGATGCATACCGCCTATACAAAATTTTGTATGTCCGATGCTCGACGAATGAGCACTGTTTCAAACTAATACGGAGGTGGTGTCACCAATATACGATTGAACAAACACATAGCAAGTGAAAGTATAATATAACCAAACGGTTGCAATAAAGTAATACCAATGGGTCATTGGCCCAACGGTATCCAGGTTAATAGTAAAGACCAATCACGCAAAGTCCATAAGGTCAAGGGTTCAAACCTCATAAAAGATGAAGAGTGTGTGTGAGTATTTGCTGTATATAAATATTATATACTTTAAAAGAAAGTAAACCATAGTTAAAAGATAGTTCAACTCTTTATAGATAATGGTTGCAACTATAATCGATAAGGGAAAGCAAGGAAATAAAACGTCACACTAAGGAGGATATGAAATAATTGTCCTAGAGATGAGGCAACCAACAACAAGAACTGCAGTCTCTGAGGCAAAATGCAACTTCAGCAAAAGGCCCATGAATTGCATGAATTAATTATCCCAGTGAAGTCTTTGCACTAAATTCAAGTGTCTGCTTCTTGCAAAACTAAATTCAGTCGATAAGAAATTGGCATTATCGAGTGTGCTTCTTGCAAAACAGAACTAAGGGGCCGTTTACTAAACACTCGCTTGGTAAGTGCTTACCGGATAAATTTCCTTATCTGATGAACATGAGAAGGGCCAAGAATCTTACCGGGTAAGAACAATGAAAAGGATAGAGAGTCTTACCCGGTAAGTAAGGATGACGACTCTTACCCAAGTAAGCACTTACCCAGTAACTTGTTGCATTCGATATGTTTGGATGTACTAAAATCTTACGTATCACAACAAATTATAAAGTTGAATCCTATTGGTAAGCACTTACCGGGTAAGCATTTAGGTAAACGGCCCCTAAATCGATAAGAATTGGCATTATCGAGAGCATTAAGCAGAGAATCAGCTAGACAGAAAGTAGGAATCATTCCTTAAATTGCTAATACTTCTCATATTAAATCAATTAATTTCAATTTAGAAGGCATATCCTTTGAGAACTAAGTAATACAAATCACAAAATGCAAACTGCAAATATCATTCCTAATAATTTCATAAGCAATGCGATAATTCCTACTCTATTTCTAGCTGATCCTCTACTTATGCTCCTGATAATGCCGATTTTATCGATTTAATTCAGTTTTGCAAGAACCAAACACTTGCAGCAAAGACTTTACTAGGCTAATGAATTCATGCAATTTAAGGTTAATCCATACTTCCACAAGAGTAAACAGATTCATGAATTTTCCAGCTGATTTCACATACATTTATACATATGCATAGGATAATATACATCAATAGGGATGAAGCTTACTTGTTGTTCGTTACGAGCAAGGCACTTGCGAACTATTTCACCCTCCAGAGTTCGACGCTCTTTTAGGGTTAGGTATTAGTAGTATTATGCAAGACGAGTCTGGCCTTGTTTGTTCACCATTAATATGAATCGAATCCCCATTTCTTCGTTTACTTTTAACAATTTCCGATCGGATTCTCGGCGTTCGATCGGAAAATCGTTCTGATAACGAATGGATGAAACTGAATTGGGATTTTGTTGAATTGGTTATATCCAGTTTGCCCCCTTAATTTATTGAATTTAGTCAAAATAAGCCCTTCATGTATTGAAGAAACCCAACATAGTCCCCCATTTTATGTAGTTTCTCCTTGTTCATGAGTTGGGTTGATTGAATTGGAGACATTTGAACAACCTAACCCAATGTTTGTAATTTAAAAAATATCTACCTAAACCTTAAGGTTTGGTCGGGTTGATACTTTTATACATCAAAATATTCTGCTACCCTTGAATATGTTGTTTTTTCTAGTCTATTTATAATTTTTTTTATCATTAACCATTTTATACAATTTACTCATACTTTTTAAATATTAAGTATGTGACATTCAATTGATTTTCTCAGTTTGCATATATATATATATATATATATAGATATATTCACGATTACCGAACATATGTATAAATGAGTTAGATAGAGATGAAGAATAGATTGAAAATATATGCATATGAATAGGGTACGCGATGGTCTAATTGTATAATGTACACATTAATAGAGTCTCAACAATCATATAAAATCCACAAAATAAAAGGATATTAGGTTCATTAGGTTGTGTTTGGTTCAAATAAAAGTAACCCAATACCTATACTTTAAAGATTTCATAACTCGATTAGACATCATGTTGCTTCATGTTGAATTATTTCGCGTTGGATCGATAGGGTTGAAGACGGGTTCTGTATGGAGCTTAATCGCTTTATTTTGTTTCCCAATGATATAAAAAATAAAACAAAAATCATAATCTCAAATTAAATTCGTAATTTATGTTTTAACATGCTTCTACCATTTGGTATGTAGCTTAGTTGGCAAAGAAGTGAGACAGTTTTGTCCAAATACAAGACATGTCCCAAATTCTGAGTGAACCAAATATTACCCTTTCGTATTGATATCATTGAAGACGAATTCTGTATGAAACCGTTTGAGGTTGTCGATAATCAACTTTTTCTAAACAAATGTGTTTAACATATTTACTTATTTTGTTCCATACATTTGGATTTAAATATATGGGATTGTTTATGGGCCAGGGGGAAGCGGGCTGCGACCTAATAACTTGTATGAGCAACCCACAACCCAAAAGCAAGCACCATTGGGTAGGGGTGAGCAGCGGAACCGGGTACCCGGCTATAGAACCGGAACCGCCGGTTCCAGAACCGGAACCGATATGAGTGGCATTGGGTATTTGGATTCACTATTTCCACCTTTGTGTATTTAGAGATGGTTAATTTGTGTTTGCCCTTGTTATGACCCGACAGTCTGGGACCGGTAACGAGTTTGCGGGATTCCAAGATTCGGCTAGGCGTACGATTGGTTAAGGGATCGACACCAGTTATATATGAGATTGATTTTTCAAAAAAAATATAGTTTTTTTTATTAGTTATAATGTGTTATAGAATAACTGAAAAAGAACAACAATTGAATAGAGAGAATGAATATGTAATTCTCTCTAATCATAAGTTCTTTTTTTAGTGATGAGTTACAACTGGATAACTATTAGATATTTCATTTATAATCTAACTCTGATATATCTATCTCTATCTTTATCGTCATATCCTTTAGACGATGACACACTTATCCTACAACGTAATGCAAGTTTTCAAGTAAATACATTATTAAAGTGTATTTGAATGCTACATTTGAAAAGTTGTAATTTTAAAACCTTAGTAACATTTTTGTGTACAACTTATTTTTAAAGAAAAATCGGGGAATCACATTGGAGATAGGCCCGATGTGACTAGGACCGGTTCTCGGGACTAGGATCAGTATTAGGGTTTTTGGTTAGGACCGAAATTGATATGGGCCTAGCCCGGTTCGGTCCGATCCAAAACTGAGTTTGGCTTTCTTTACACCTATTTAATAAATTTTGTGATAAAAATTAATAATTGAATTGATAACAAATTTATGAAAGAAATTAGTAGTAAATTATAAGTTGAAGATGGAAAGCTACAAATTTGTGACAAAAACTATAATTTAGTAATAAATAAGGTTAATAAAAATATATTCTACAGAAACCAATAAAACGACATTTTTTTTTACTGACCAACTGTTTAACTGATTTATTTGTAATAAAAAAAATGATAACATGATCATGATTTGTTGTAACAATTTATCGGGTAAGCGCTTACCGTGGTAAGAGTCGTCCCCCTAACTTATCGGGTAAGATTCTTGGTTCTTACCATATTCATCTGGTAAAGTAATGTGACTTGATAAACGCTTACCTGAGTAAGCGTTTGGTAAACGACTACTAACACATAATTTGATGTGGATCCACAATCAATAAAGTTGCTATTGGTGTACCTTTGCTAATGCATAAGGTACATTCATTAATGCATTCACACTCCATTAGAGTACTATTCCTAATGCATAAGGTAACATTCATTAATGAATAAGATGTTTCATTAGTAGGTCAACCATAATCAAAAATTCCTTTTAATCAAAGATTGGCCAAGGTTTTAGGTCAAATGCTTCCCATGGATATTCGATTGAGTGAACCAAAAGTGTAGAGAACCCCAATATTAGAGAAACCTAACATCTAACCCCGTTTTTACGTTATCGTGTCGTATCTTCTTACTGATATCGTAAAATCAGTAATCCAAAAACAACATGTTTTTTATTAACTGTTTGTGGGTGAAAGGAGTCACTCTGTTATTTATAATGAATGCAAATGTTTTGTTACATCGCATATACTGTAGCAGAACGAGTGATTGGATGCGTGTACCGAAATAACTGTTATATGATTTAAGAATCTTTATAAAATAATCAACTACAATAACTATTTTAAAGTTAAGGATATTAAACTTTATGTTTGCAGCATATTTGTAACAATCTGGAAAATAAGATTTATGAGCTTCTTATAAGCTTGAAATTGTAGGCTACCAATAACTTGCACCATAAGTTTAAGTTGAATTCTAATTAATTGGGCTAGTCCACTACTCTGGGTTTAGGGCATTACAATATTCTAAGAACCTCCGACTAATCCACTACTTTGGGTTTGAGGTTATAGGTGTTCATGAGTTAGGTTGATTGGGTTGAATACGTTTGAACAACCCAACCCAATGCTTGCTGTTTGAAAAATCCTAACACAAAACCGTACATGTTGGTTGGGTTGACACTTTGGTACATTAAAAAATTATTCTAGCGTTGAATATGTTATTTCTTTACTCATAATTTCTTTTTCATCATCAACCATTTGATACAACTTATCTATACTTCTTACGTATATCACATTCAATTAATTTTCTCAATTTACATATATATGTTCATAGTTACTGAACATATATACGAATGAGTTATATAAAGATGTGAATAAAATGAAAATATGTGTATATGAAGAGCGTACGTGATAGTGTAATTGTTTAATGTATATATATTAATAGAAATTCAAAAATCATATTTAATCCAAGAAATAAAACGATATCATATTCATCGGGTTGGGTTGGATTCAAATTATAGTAACCCAACATCAACCCAATACCTACGGTTTGAAAATTTTACAACTCGATTAGACATCGGGTTGCTTCGGGCTGAGTTATTTCGTGTTGAGTTGATCGGATTTTTGAGCACCCCTATTTAGGGCATTACATATTCTAAGAACCTCGTTCAACACAATTTTACAGTTTTTCTCACTCGGGATATATTCTTTTGGGTATGTTCCAGTCTCTTATTTAAACAAATCATATATATGTATAATTATAAATCCAGATATTTAAGGTGTAATTATTGTGTAAAAAGACCAGTTAATTATAGTTGTAAGTAGAAAAAACATATCAAACGTTCTTAAGATCGGACGTCACAAATTAAAATAGAAAGAGCTAAACTTATATATCTAGCAAAGATCGATTAGTCAGCAGTCACGAATGCCGAGTATTATAATTAGAGTGTTCTCGCACATCTCCGTCTGTTTGGTGCAAAAACTATATGAGAATTATGAAATGTCTTGTTCCTCTGTTTTTTTTAATTCTTATATTGTTACGAGAAATAACATATAATAAAATTTAACGAATCATCGTATAAAAAAGTTATTGCACAAAAATTGAAAAACCAAAGTTTTAATTAATAAGCATTTACACAGTATAATTGTATCTAATTTCAAGTGAGGGGTTGTTTGGTTAGAAATATTAAGCAATAATTAATGAGAATGAAAGTAAAATAAATTGTTTGAACCACAAGGGTGATGCTTGATTGGTTTAAGCTTGGCTCCAAAGGCTAAAAGTACCAGGAGATCTCAGGTTCAAATCCAAGAAATAAAAATCCTCTTGTGGCCACAAAAGTTCAAATGCGATAACTCCGGGTTATCTGCAAAGCATGTGGTCGCCCTGGAATTAGTCGGCTGACATAGGGCGTTGAATATCCAAGTTAATCAATTTTTTTTTGATTTTATGTAATATAATGAGTTTATTCTCTCACAAATCCAAATTTTTATTCCAGGTTAAATTAAGGGTCCGTTTGGTTTGCATGATTGTTTTTTTTGGATTTGGATTGAAATGAATTTGAAATCATTGGTGTGTTTGGTTTGTAAGATTTGGAATGAAATTGGATTTCATTATTTATAAATAATTTATAGAAAAAATTACAAAAATAATTGAATTACATTTTTGTTAATTGATTACTACAAAACAAATGTTTTAAACATTTTTTAAAACCTTATTGCATACAATCGTACGAAATCCCGAGCACTCACTAAGAAGTTCAAAATCCTATGTTTGAAGGATTTCAATTGAATCATAGGACTTCAAATCCGGACAATCCAACAAACCAAACATGAGATTGAAATGAATTTGAAATACAAATCCCCCCAAATCCATTCCATTCCTTCAAACCAAACAAGACCTATGGGAATGAAAATTCATTCTTATTTTTATTCCCTATTATTTTTATTTTCATTCCCAACATGCAACTTATAAACACCCTCCAAACTAAGGGGTCGTTTACTAAACACTTACTTGGTAAGTGCTTATCGGATAAA